TGCCACATCCAGACGTTTTTTAAACACGTCACCACCTCTGCGATGGAGAACCTGGCTCCAAGGTGCAGCTCCAAGTTCAGACTTCACAGGATCAAAGCAGATCCCAGCCGTGGCTGCCGTGTCTGATAGAGGCTGGGGAGCGATCTGGGAGGAGGAGACCGTGCGTTCGGAGTGTTTCAAGCTCTGTCTTTCCACAGTGGTGCTACAAGAGGGAGTGTGTGCCTTTCGGTACCCGACCGGAGGGTGTGGACGGTGCCTGGGGAGCCTGGTCATCCTGGGGGGAGTGCAGCAGGACGTGCGGCGGAGGCGTGTCGTCATCCATCCGCCACTGCGACAGCCCGCGGTAGGTGTCAGGGAGACCTGGTCTTGTCCCGGCTGAACGGCATCGCCCTTCGGCTCCATGTGCCGGGTGCCCGTGCAGCTCTGCCCTTGGTTCCCAGGACAATCTAAGTTCCTGCATGCAAATCCCATGTTCGTGCTTTCACAGCAGCTCAGTGCTCTTGCTTTGGTGTTGGGTCTCTTCTGCCAAGTAACAAGCTGTAGGACAAGAGGAAATGACCTCCAGTTGTACCAGGGGAGGTTTAGATTGGATATTGGGAAAAATTTCTTCACCAAAAGGGTGTCCAGCATTGGAACAGGTTTCTTGGGGCAGTGGTGGAGTCCTTATCCCTGGAGGTTTCTAAAAGCCGTGTAGATGTGGTGCTCAGGGCCATGGTTTAGCGGTGGACCTGGCAGTGCTGCGTTAACAGTTGGATTCAATGAGCTTAAAGGTCTTTTCCAACTTAAACAGTTCTATGATTCTGCAGCCACAGACCCAAAGCCGTTTGTAGAACTCCACCATGTGCCTGCAGCTGAGCCTGTGAGGTCTTGCTGGGGGACTACAACAGCCCCTCCAGGCAGGATCCGTCCTTGGGGTAGAGCAGGGTTGGGAAAAGCCACGGGGTGCTCCTGCAAACTCGGGGCAGCCACCTACCGCAAAAGCAGCCTTAAGCTGGTTGACCCATCTTATTCCTGGCTTGGCAGGCCCACGATCGGCGGGAAGTACTGCCTGGGAGAGCGGAAGCGATACCGGTCCTGCAACACCGATGTGAGTACTGCGGGGCTCGGGAACAGGAGCAGCGGTGCGCCAGACGGGTTTTGCTGATGGGGCAGGCAGCAAGGAGGCAGGGATGAACCCCCTCTGTGTGGCTGCAGGGCGTTCTGTCCACCCCTGGTACCCACAGGAGGGGGCGGCGGCCCGGAGGGGAGCCACGCTGTGCCGGCGGCGACCCCACGGTGGGGAAGGCTGGGCAGGATGATGCATGTCTGCACCGGCTGCGAGCTTGCTCAGAGGGTGGGTGGTACATACCTGCAGGGCTGCAGCATCAGGAAGGGGCCTGGAAAGATAAGGAGGGAAAGGAGGAAAGGCTTTCAGCGCTGACATGACAGTGGTTGCCTCTCGCTCGCTGCAAGCGCAGGCCTGGTGGGGTGAGAGTGGCTCAGGAGAGGCAGTGCAGCAGCCTGCTTCCCAAGGCTGAGGGTTAAACCTCAAGGGGAGCAGAGAAATAATTGTGCAGGGAAGTTCAATGAAGCTTTAGACCCAGGTGAATGGTGGCTTTAACACGCACGGGCTGGTAATAAGGAAAATAGATTGCTCTCCCATTGCTTCCCCTGGGTTTTGCATCTACCTCTTAAGGGGTTGCTTGTGAGACCAAGCGTTGCATCTGCAAACAGACCACCTTGGGCTCAAAAGCTCGTGCCATTAGTCTTTGTACAGAGCCCAGCTTTGCGGGAAGGACACTCCTGCCGAACTCTAGCAGTGCCCAGTTGTCAGGGCTGGTGTCCCATCTCCTGCAAGGGCTGGTGTTAGTCACAGCTGGGAGCCCTGTCGCAGCTCCTGCCCTCCTAGCAGCTCAGGCAGGCTGCTGATCGCTGCTGTGTGGCCACAGGACTGCCCGCCGGGCTCGCAGGACTTCCGAGAGCTGCAGTGTGCCGAGTTCGATAACGTCCCCTTCCGAGGGAAGTACTACACCTGGAAGACGTACCGCGGAGGTGAGTGCTGGGGCTAGGCTGAGCATCCCCAGGCTGAGGTGGAGCTGGAGCAGGGCCGTGCAGGGCTTTGCTCTCCCCGACTCTGCAGGGAGAGGTCTTGTGGTCCAAGGGCTCTGGTGGGCAATTAATCACCATCTCCACTAGCCCACATCCCACAGGTTGCCCACGAGTGTGGGTCGAGGTGCTTTCCTCCAGGCAGCTGCCCCTGTAGCCCCAGCCCCAGATCACTGACCCTCGTGCAATTGCCTTTTTAGCTTCATTGCTTTGCCAGAAACAATTCCAGCAGCGTCTGAGCTGTTTAGCTCCTTTCCTCAAATCTGTTTCCTTAGTAGCCGAGGGACCAAAGAGGAAGACAAGAGAAAGGGAGTTAGCATCTGAGAACTGATGGGGAGAAGGCAGGGCAGCCCGCCCTGTGCAGGCAGGTGAAGCTTCCAGCTCCTGCACAGGTAGAAGGGATGTGAAGTGGTGGATCCTCCAAAGATCTGTGCTCGTTTCCTCAGCTGTGGATCCTCAGTCCCACTGTGTCCTGCAGGAGAGTCTAGCAAGGAGAAGGGGTGGGAGGGAGGCCCCTCTAGCAGAAATCTCTTAATAATGAGAAAGAACAGCGCGTCTCCTTCATGTAGTTAATGAACTTGACTGGGGAAATCCTTCGCAGCTGTGTAAATAAGCACACCTCCCGGCGGGGCTCCTGCAGCTGGAGCAGATGTGCTGAGGCTGCAGGGGATGGATCAATAAAAATGTAATAAAATTGCAAAGCAATAAGTCACACAAAGACCCCAGAGGATGCCAAGGTAGAAGACAGCCCTGCAGGCTGGATCTGCCCTCACTTGGACCTCTCTCTTCCCCAGGCATGGCCTAGTGGTTTGAGTCCAGAGGACAGTTGGCCAGTTGAACATCAGCCCTTGAATTGTAATTTGGCTCTGACACAGATTTTTGCTTTGACTTTCAGAAAAAAAGCCCCTTACTCTCTCTGCTTCAGCTTCCTCTTCTATAAAATAAGGTGATGAAACCTGTTTCCTTCCCAGGAGCCTGTGAGCGTTGGCATGATCATGTCTGGAAGGGATCTGGGAGCTGCCTGCCTCACCTCCCCGGGTTGGCTATGGGTAATGGTCGGGAGGAGCTGTACTGTTTAGCAGGTTTTTTTATTCAGCATCGAAGGGCATCACTGTCTTCCTCTGCAGTGGCCCAGGTAGGGAAACTGAGGCACATTGCTCTGAGTAAAGAGGTGCTGGAAGCTGCAGCTCCTCGTCCCGTTCTGGCAGCCAAGCCCACAGCTGGGAGAGCACCCATCTCCCAGCTCTCAAGAACTCCCGTGGGCTGGCACCTGCCTGCCTGGGAGCTGTCAGCCGGGATTAGCAGGATCAGCTCTTCACAGATCATGGGCTGTCCACGCTGGCTGGAGGAGGGGGTAAGGTGTCATCACTCCTCCACTCCACCTTTAAAATTCTTTGCATGAGTCTGGGTGCTCTGTCAGAGTTGGGGAAACCTGACTGCGGCCATTCAATATGTAAAGAGGAGGATTTGTGTAAAAAAGAGGGAGAGAGAGATTTTAGCAAAGCCTGTAGTGACAGGATGAGGGGCAACAGTCTTAAATGGGAAGAGGGTGGGTTTAGAGTGGACCTAAAGAATAAAAGGGTGTGTGATGAGGGTAAGGAGACACTGGAGTAAGTTTCCCAGAGAAGTCGTGGATGCCTCCTCCCTGCAAGTGTTCAAGCCCAGGCTGGACGGGGCTTTGAGCAGCCCAATCTAGTGGAAGGTGTCCCTGCCCATGGCAGGGGGCTTGGACTAGATGGTCTTTGAAGGTCCCTTCTGACCCAAACCCCTCTGTGATTCTATGACTTCAGCAGTGAGTGCTGGCGGCTTCACTTGCCTGCAGGGTTTTGTGATTTTTGGTGTTGTTTAGGTGTCAGAGGTACCTCTGTGGGGGAGGCATCCCTTGCACCTCCACCCTCTCCATGTCACAGATCAGACCCCCAGGAAGAAAACCCTCTTGTCCTCCCCTTGCCACAGGTATTTTGCTCCCAGGACCTGTGTTTTCCCCCTGCAGCCCCCGTGCTAGCAGGCGTCCCCCCCATCATCACAGAGGCAATGAGAGCTGGCCATCATCTCCCTCACCCCCTTCTGCCCTCTTCCAGTAGTGCCCAGAGAGCTCTGGGTGTCAGTCCTTCCCTCCCAACTGGCACAAGTAGCCTCTGAGGATCCATCCTTGTTGGCAGCCTCATCCCCAGGCATTCTGCCCCCCAGCCGGTGACATATCTGCTCTTCAGGTTGATTTTGGGCACCTGTCTGTGCTGTGGGAGCCGTTCACCTGCCTGGCCCTGTGCTGAGCCTCTTCCCTGGCTCCGCTAAGCTGCTGCCTTTGGTGCTGCACCCTTGAGCCTCCCTCTTGCCAAAAGGTGCAGGGGGACTGGGAAAGGTTTCCCTGTGCATGGAGTACCCCTACTCAGAAGACAAGGAATAACCCCTTGGCTTGCATGGGGGGAGGACGCCGATCCTGCAAGGAATTTGGAAAGGCAGGGAGCCACCCGCTGAAAGCCTGATGCCGGCTGCCGGGTCGCCGGCAAGTGGAGGTCGGGTTTTGCGTGGGGCTGGTGTGGCGTGTTTTCCTGGCGGTGATTTATAACGGTCCCGGAGCCCAGACCCCGGGATCGCAAAACACAGCCCCAGCGAGAAGCGCTGAGCTCAGCCTTTCGGAGCTTCGCAGTCAGCAGATACCTTGTGGAATGCGGCTTTAATTGTTTGTTTATTTTGCTTTATTCGCTTAGTTATTCATTTTGCTCTTGGCGGTTGCAAGAGCCGAGGGAGACCGGAGCTGGGAAGGGGCTGGGGAGGAGCGGGGGCTTGCAGAAAACAGGAGATTGCTCGTCATAAATTGTAATGCGCTTTAATTCCTCTACGGGACAGGGCAGGCAGGAGGAACAAAACATCCTCTGAGGCACTGCGTAGCCAACTGGAAATATTCTATTCTAGTCCATTTCAACAGCCTCTCCTGCCCGTCTGCTGCCAAATGCAGAGGAGGAGACCTGGGGAGGAGCGGGGGCTTGCAGAAAACAGGAGATTGCTCGTCATAAATTGTAATGCGCTTTAATTCCTCTACGGGACAGGGCAGGCAGGAGGAACAAAACATCCTCTGAGGCACTGCGTAGCCAACTGGAAATATTCTATTCTAGTCCATTTCAACAGCCTCTCCTGCCCGTCTGCTGCCAAATGCAGAGGAGGAGACCGGGCACCAGCCTGGGCACGGGGCAGCAGTGGTGAGGAATTGGGATAGAAAGGAGGATCGTTCATGTGAATGGGAGGAAGGCCAAGGGCAGGAGAGCTGCTCCCCAGCCAGC